GCGTACTGGAAAAACAAAATCAAAATTGAATAATGAAAAAAAGGTCGGGCTATCCAGCAGGCACTGTGAAAACATATCTTACAAATTTATATGGCTACATCCAAAGGCAGATACTAAAAGCTGATGTTTACCTGATATTTGATTGATACTACAAAAACAGTATCAAAGAACATACCCCCCAGTCTCATGCTAAAAATGCCTGTCGAACCTTCAATCTTCAGTCGAATACTATGGATCATGGCTCCATCAACTGATGTGTACAGTTTAGGAGTCAGTTTAATACATATATAAGTTATATAGCATTTCCCTATAATATTATGAATGAAACTCATATATTTAAATAATACTGATTATACTTCCTGTATTTTGGGAATTGAAATAGAAATATTTCCTAAAATGCTGTTTTATACATTCTTTCATTACTTAATTTTTGTATTTTCAGGCTAACAAACAGACAGTCCTTAGACTTGATAGGTATTGTGGAAAGCAGGGTCTATTATAAAGGCAATTACGAAATATCAAAGGTGTCATCCCTACCTGTAAGTAAAATTTGGTTCTTGTAAACAGACCTGAAAATTATAAATAATAAGAATTTTTATCACAATAATACAGAACTTACACACTTGTAATGATCAATAAAGATCAAAAACATCCATCACAGCTTCCTATCAGTTTCCTTCTATAATTACTCCATTTTTGTTTTATGGTTTCAATGTATACTGCACTATACAAGATGCTTGTTAGGCTGTTTAGACCATCTGCCAAGGGGTGTGTGTATCTGCTCAGTTAGAAACTTAGTAGGTATTAAAGTGATTGAGTTTTAAATCTTGAAAACAAGTTAATTTCTCCAACCATACTAAACTTCTTCCTAAAATTCAAAATCAGATTTTCCCAATCTTCATCATACTCATGTAAAATCCTCGAAGTAAGAAGTGCTAATAGAGCTCATCTATTTCCACTGCTATTCAATCCTGATGAAGAGTTTCATTTGTTTGTAAATTTGACATTAGTACAGGTTGTCCGGAAAGTAAAGATACAAATACTTTTATTTTAAGAGGTTTAGTTTTTTGTCATGAAATCGCTACAGATTTTAGAGGAACTACATTACAATACAACTATCAACTTTTATAACATATAGTCTAAATGTATTAAGGTTACGGTTGTCATGGTTACCGTGGTGAGGGGTATGAGGAGCAGTTCCAGTTCACTAAATTGTGACAAATTGCTTAAATATAACCAATTGAAATGGTGTTTATAATTATATTTCTTATCAGTTTTTTGCTTTGTTCAATATTGTATTCTTGCTGCCATAGTATTCTCGTTAGTATAACGGTATCATTGATACATATCAGAATTATGTAATATCACAAATATAATCAAAGAAAAGAAAAAGAGTATATAAGTGCTTAGAAAAAGGGTCCTTAGATTAATAGGAAAGTCAAAAGTGCACCTCCACAGTCAGTGCACTAATTCACAAAGCAAAGAAAACAAATCTTAAAATTGAATGTATTGACATTAACCTTTTTGTACAATGTCCCATATTTCCCTGATAATGTCCCGTTGGACTTCTACATTAATGAAAATGTTAAAGCAACATTTGTGAGAAATTCAACATAAAAATGAGACTTGGCTGGAAACCAATGTTATCAGCAATCTTACTGATGTTGCACTTATAAGTTTATTGTAAAGCAATATAAACATGCACATGAGTTCAAAATTGAGTTAAATTTATATTTGGTTGCGTTTAACTCAAGCCCCTTCATAATTATTTGAACACCTGGCATAGGTACATGTTCTTCAGTTAGAAATAAATTGATACTCAATGTCACCATGACTGGGCACTGAACTTTTTGCCAATGTTTTTCAGAGAGACAGACGGATTTCTTTGGACAGAAAGGCTTTCATGGCCTATATCAGTGCTAATATATCAGGGAATATATCAGTATATCTTTTCCGCCCCTTACACAGTGGCCAATACTACCCAATGGAAATCATTCCGGATATTTTGTGAATCCAATTTTCAGCTAATTTTAAATATCCTCATCAAAACAAAATGCATATTATCTATTGATTTTTTAAGTAGAACCAAATAGAGCTTTAGCGCTGGCAATGATAGTGAGAACTGATGAGAAGTGATGAGCAATTCAATCAATTGCAGAATGGCACATGCAAGACAAAGGCAAACGCACAATCCTCTGGAGAATCAGACACTTATCCATCTACAGATGAACATATTGTAAACTTCTTCTAGTGAAAAGGTATTTTATAGAATGCAAATGTTGCCATAAGCACTGATCTCTTAGATAGAAGGGAAATTGTTTAGATATTTCCATTTTATTAAACCAGCAAGGTCCAAACAATGACAATTGACCTAACAAGGGAGCACATCAAAATATCAAATAAGCTATACGAGTATATAACTCAAATTGTGAACTTCTTTTTCACTGTTATGGCACAGAACAGGTGTGATTCCAAATAAATTCCTTTGGCACCTTAGAAATGTTGGTGTAATCAGAATGGAGATTTTGTAAAGCATGGTGTAATTCCAGCAGCTATAACATTAACTAACAACCCATTGAACAACTTTTCACCATGTGGAATTTAAAATATTAAGTTTGAAGTTTTATAATGGAGTCCAATGATAAAATGATTAAATCTGAAATATTTTTAAACGTAGCGGCGCAATTTTCTTGAAATTCATCTGGCAAATTAAAATGCACATTTGAGTACAATATAACATAAACATGCTACTGAACTCCATGCATATCCATACATTCTTGTACATTAACTTGGATGTAATGTAATGACCCAGGCTTTATAAACAAGAAGAGCAAAAGGCACCCGATTCTCATGTTGTCAAACTACTGTCTGGCACAAGATGTTCCATACAACCTAAAATCAATTAACGAAGCTTTACATATTATTTGCAAAAAGCATATAACCATATACATTGAGCATTAAAAGGTCAAATAGTAAGGTGACAATGAGGGAGATGTTATAAATAACAAACCTAAAGATTAACCTAGTCTCCGGACCTCTCTAGTCATCACATTGTTATGTTCTGTCTAAATAGACAATGTTTAATTGAACCTAATCATATGGTGCTTGTCAGCCAGCTTCTCTCCCAGATCCTGCATGACAGAAATGCATTTTTGTATAAGATTATTCACCATATAACAGCAGGGCTACAGATGAAACCAAATGTCTGACAACCTGGTCAACAAAGAAAGCAATCAAAGCCTGGTTTGATAAAAGAGGAAAATATTAAATTGACAATACTAAATTGATTACAAGTGTATGACATCCTGCATGCTATTAAAGAATGAGTATGAAAGATTCAGATGCAAGTGAGGTAAAGTTTTTCATGGATGTTTTGAAGGTACAGAAGGATAATGTGTTTGGAGATGCAGAGTATGTATCTAACCTGAATCATAACACAAAACTGAAACTTACAGATAAGCTTCCAGATATTGATTATGTTCAAAAAGTATTGAGCCACATGAGAGATAGGATTGGCAAACTAAGTTTGTTGTTCGAATACGGAGCAACTAGCACCAATAACAAAGAACTTCATCAATGTTACACATTTATTTCAATATTTTCTAGGATCTTCACCATGTGGTATGCTCTCAGGAGAGCTTCATGATCAGGTTTTGAAGAAACAATACTAGTAACAGATATTATTATTGTGAAGGTAATGCCAAGCAATATGATGATTTACACTAATATAAAAACGGGGAACATTTTTACCTTCCTCTCCTCTGCAACACTATATAGTTAACTGATAACTATATATGGAAAATAGTTTACACACACAAATCTAAACAAAAATATATCATCATGTACCTTGTTGATGAGTCTTTCATATTCATTAGATGGGGTTTTATATATCAGCTGTGCTATATTGGTGAACAAGAAGTTCAAAATTGAAAAACTCCCAAATATTTTCAATATGGAGGCATGCAAAGAGGATTGTGAAAAAAAATTGATTGGTGCAATTCCCTAGGGATCAATGTCGGGGATGCTTATTTTTTTGGTTTCAGACACCCCCTAACTGATAATATAAGCTTATTTGCCAACATTTTATTTATCTTTTAATGTGTTCCCTAAAGTGCTGTAACATTGTAACAATCAATCTAATGGTCATGAAATATTGTAGGATGGTAGGAAATTGAATGATGTTACACATGCACCAAATATCAGGGAGTACTTTTCTAAAATGACAAAAATATGAGAACAATAGTTCTCTGTTCTTTCAGATATGTTCTGAGAGATAGCGGGTACACCCTGACAGAAAGTCTTATGACCCCAATCACTAATCCATTATCGAGAGAAGAAGTATGTTTCAATAGGAGACACAAGTGCACTAAAGTTACCATTGAGCAATGTAATAGTGTCCTCAAGAATAGATGTAGGTACAACTTTGAAAATGTCAGTCTCTGCCAGTAAATAATATAGTACTATTGTAGGAAATTTTTGTTTTGAAATGCCCAACCCATCCTTTGTTATTTCCCACCTGCACAGAAGCATGCTCCATAAGCAGGGCTTCACACTACGATTGTGTTTTTTTTAACTAAAAAAAGCTAAGTTATATTCGCGATTTTCAGAATACATCTGCATCATCACTGTCCACCATTATCCACACATCAAAACTGGAGGAAAAAAGTTATAATCTGGCCAATGACCTTTTCAATGAAGCTGACTTAAAGAACTTGATTGAACTTAACAGGGAGATGGAAGTAAGTAGGAGGACAAGGTAGAGGGAGGAAAAACCCAGGAAGGCAGAGCTGGTAAGGGTTGAGAAGGTAGAGGAAAAGTGGGAAAGGCGGGAGGAAGAGTTGAGGCAAGATTTTATAAGCAGGGAAAGGGCTATGAGGGAGGAATTGAACAGAAAAGAGAGGGCGGAGATAGATAGGCAGGGGAAGGAACTAAGGGAGATTAGGCAAGTAGGAGGGAAAATTTGGAGAGAAGCTGGAGGGTAGTTTTAGGGAAAAGGAGGGATGAAATGGAAGGGAAATGGAGCTAAGAAGAGATTATGTGGGCGGAGCAGGAAGGGAAAGGTACTGGGGGCAAAGAAAAGGCGGGAGATGTTCATGAGAGATATACAGGAGCGGGAGGAGGTAGAGTTTTGTGATTTTGAGGAGGACATGGGGGAGGGGACAATGTTTATATTGGGGAGGGACAGCCGATAGTAAGGGAAGAGGTATGGGAAGATGCAGTAGATTACATCAAGGGGGAGGAGGGACAGGAGGGAAGGGAAGAAGCTGAACCAAAACTATAAATGACACCATTGACTCCAATGTTCTAGACTATTTTGATGCATGATACAATTAGTATTTTGCAATATTGCAATCATGCATAGTATTATCGAAAAAATGTATAATAGTTGAGGAGGCTGTAGAGAAGTGGGAGGATGGGAGGCCAGGGACCAGCCAAAATCCCACACATGGGTCTGATACAGAAGCCACCATTGGAGAAATATACAACTTTGAGAAAGTTGAGAAAGTTCATAATGTGTATTGTTTAAAAGCCTCAATTAATGCCATATTACAGAAACCTCACAATGATCAAATACAGTACTGATGCAATAGAGATTGATTCCCAATAGAAAATAAAAATCATTGTATGCAATGATACCACAAAAAATATTCTCACTTCTCTAGATTGTTTATAGCTTGTCAGTTGCGCTATGGGGATCTTGATGACTTTTTCACTCATGAAAACCAAGTATACCCTACAGCTCTCTCTGAGAATGGTGATCTCTACCAGGGAAAAAAGTGACACTTTAAAACCCCTCGAAGGTTTGATTAAAGAGAAGGTAGTGGATGCTCCTGATATTGAAGTTGCAATCATAGATGGAGCAGTCGCAACACATATCGTAAAACCAACAAAAGGTGAAACATTTCAGCAGTATGGTGACCTTAGATTCAATAGTTACTTGTCAAAAAGGCTCAGGTCAGTATTCAGACTGGATATTGTGTTTGGAAGCCAGAGAATTTGAAGAATTCTGCCAGAAACAAGAGAGGAAAGGGCACACAGCGACTTGTCTATCCCGATAACCAAATTAATTTTGGTTAAATAAGAGGACTATTATCCTACTGCTTCACTTCATGATTCTGCACCTAACACTCCACTTCATGATTCTGGACCTACCACTCCACTAAATGATTCTGCACCTACCACTCCACTAAATGATTCTGCACCTAACACTCCACTTCATGATTCTGCACCTAACACTCCACTTCATGATTCTGCACCTAACACTCCACTTTATGATTCTGCACCTAACACTCCACTCCACTATTCTAGACCTACCGCTCCACAACATGATTCTGTACCTACCACTCCACAACATGATTCTGCCGAACCACTTCATGATTCTGCACCTAACGCTCCACAACATGATTCTGTACCTACTGCTTTACTTCATGATTATGCATCTACCACTCTACTGAACGATTCTACACCTAAAGCTACACTTAACAATTCTGCACCTACTAAAGAATTCACAAATACAAATATATGGAACAGTACACCCGAACAGCTGTTCAGTAACAGTGGACAATTATCAATAGAACATTTTGAAGAAATTGCCTGACATCAACATTTACCAGCATCAGTTCCTAATGTACAATCAACTTTATCTGAGGCCCGGATCAAATACCCTGTACCAGAACAAATTAGGGATTGTACTAGATACATTTTCAATCGTGGATCCCGCAATATGGTTTGTATCTTACAATTGTTGATAGAGGAGTATGCATACAGATTACACGGGGCGTGTCATGAGTCATGACAGTACCTTACAAAAGACCAAGCTTCTTCTGCAACAAAATAAATCTCCATAGAGTTCTTCAACAGTTGTTAATTGACATTGGTATGTAAGCCTACTTTTCTTATGGATCTAACCATATAAATATTTTAAATAAATATATGGATTTTTAGATAAAATACTAAATACTAGCTGTAGTCATGATCAAATACAGTGTACCAGCCTAGCAAACATTTGCCTCATTTATCGCATAGGTTAAACAAAATTTCACATTGCCAAAATGAATCCATTATTACATACCTGTTCATGTACCATGATCCATTAAGCCTATCTTTTGTCACAGTTTAAGGTGTCTGGAAGAAGCTGTTGCATTTCTCGTTAACTTTAGACAGGTAGAATTCAAATGACTCCACACACTCACTTGCTGCCATGATAGGACTTTTATTTGTTTCTCTAGGTTTTACTAAGAAGCTGTTGTATTTCTCTTTGACTTTAGATAGGTAGAACTCAAATGACTCCACACACTCACTTGCTGCCATGATAGGACTTTTATTTGTTTCTCTAGGATCTACTCCTTTATGGGTTTTGTCGTATTCATTAAATATTTGTTCAACATATTTTTGTCCATTTTCCGTCAATTGTTTGGTGTTTGTCACAAGAATGATTTTCTGCATGAGTATTCATGACAAAGAAAACCATGTGGGAATGTTCGCAAATGTGAATACAAACAGTGACAATCTTGAAGCAAAAGTGTCCAAAGGTTGGACAAAAATAAATTTAAAAATAAAAAGATATCAAAATTAAATCGCCAACACACAATTTGATTGAAAGTGCAATATGAGCTGCACAAAACGTTCGATTCAGAGCTTCATGCAGGAGTTGGAGGATATAATCCTTTAGACTGGAACCTCTTGAATGAAAATTCATAGAGCCTGCTTTCAATGGAAAATTTCCTCAAATCAGGCAAGAGTCCAACATTAAGTTGTATTTAGAATGGTTACAAATCATGGCAAGTGTGCCACTGGGGCGACCTGAACACACAATACCTGCTCATATACCAGCAATTCACAAGACAGTAGCCACTTTCCAAAAATGCTCACAAATAAAAAGGGATCATTAAGTAATGAAGACTTGAGGAAATGGAAGAATTTGGCTGAAGATGATTTGCCATAACTAATTATAATAATTACAAAAATCAAAAGAGAATATATACAGAATAACCTCAGTATGATTATGTCAATATTATTATTGATTCATAATAAAATGGCACCTTCACATATTTACAAACTTTGGAAGTTGATCATAGACTTAATAGGGCCTCTGAAGCAATGGTCTCATGGAATGAGAAAGAGATTCTGGATGACTAAACCCTCTCATTGGGACAGAGTTCTGTTGGCGGCATTTTGCTTCATTAGTGGAGCAGATCCCCAAATTGTGACAGAATTCTTTGAAGACAAAGAATGTGAGAGATCTGTTGCTGTATGCGTGGAATGTATCGTTCAAGAGATACGAATATTTAGATGGAACTATAAAACATAGGTGTCAATAGATACAATCAAAATAAAATAATTAATCAATTAATGCACCATTAATCAAACATGCTTCTCAATTATAAATATTTTTCAGATGATTTGGAAATCTACGAGTTATACGATACAAGTCATGTCGCATGTGTGCAGGACGTGATGTTTCTGCAGTGAATACATGTATTACATCAACTGTGAGCAACAGTCGATCTGTTCAGACGTAGATGAAATACTGAGATGAGGTGTAGTTGGGGGTATCCTTATAGTCATGTCGCATGTGTGGGGGACGTGATGTTTCTGCAGTGAATACATGTATTACATCAACTGTGAGCAACAGTCGATCTGTTCAGACGTAGATGAAATACTGAGATGAGGTGTAGTTGGGGGTATCCTTATAGTCATGTCGCATGTGTGGGGGACGTGATGTTTCTGCAGTGAATACATGCATTACATCAACTGTGAGCAACAGTCGATCTGTTCAGACGTAGATGAAATACTGAGATGAGGTGTAGTTGGGGGTATCCTTATAGTCATGTCGCATGTGTGGGGGACGTGATGTTTCTGCAGTGAATACATGTATTACATCAACTGTGAGCAACAGTCGATCTGTTCAGATGTAGATGAAATACTGAGATGAGGTGTAGTTGGGGGTATCCTTATAGTCATGTCGCATGTGTGGGGGACGTGATGTTTCTGCAGTGAATACATGCATTACATCAACTGTGAGCAACAGTCGATCTGTTCAGACGTAGATGAAATACTGAGATGAGGTGTAGTAGGGGGTAACTGCGCCCCGGGTTTGACCTCCAGCGCCGTGCCTGGGTCTGGAGAGGTCACTGGAGTGTATATGATCCCTCTGGTGGTAGTTGGGGTGGTCATATTCATAAGATTGATGAGATACAAACAAATTTCAAAATGATCTATGTATACGACTGATAATATTGAAATGTATCTTTTTGGAATTTTTTTAAAAGTTTAAATCACAATGTTTTATTGCACTAACCTTTATTGTAGTGGTTTTTCTTTCTTTACCAGCTTCTTGCTTGTAGCCTGGCTTAATCTGCAATTCTTTGTTCATTTTTTATTCTTTTCACAATGAGGCAAAAGCATGAGGAGAAAAGAAAGGTTAGTTATGTCAAAACAGTTACATTTCAATACTGCAAAACTAGTAGTTACTTCAACAATTATTTACAGTATTGTACCCAAGTACCATAATTTATAGAGTTTAATTTATAATTTATTCTCCTGAATAAACTATAGGGAACCTTGCAGGAAAAAGTATGTACTGTAGTGTATCTAGTAAAACAGAGATAGAGCTTTTAATTTTGAAATATTGTGAGAACTTTTAACAAAATCATTCAGAATATCTTAATGAAATGGAACTAGACTTCTTAAGTAGACAAACTCTACATGAATCAATATTCAATCTAACTTTACTATCCAGATGTTTCAAGAGGCACGGAAACTGGCCCAAGAGCAGAAACTAGAAATCAAAGAAAGAGTCGAATAAATATATTGAACTCTGGGATTAGCTTTTAAAGACTTTGCACCCAACTGAAAAAAAAATCTTGGAAGATCACTTTGCATGGTATTATAATCACGTTTTATGACACTTGAATAAATGAATAAGTAAATGAATGAATAAACAATATTCTGTTTGCTACCTGAATATGTAAACATTTTGCAATCAATATTATGATCATGATGAATAGGATGGATTGACCAGGTTTTTGTTCTACTTTACCACAGAGGACCATACAACTGTAAAATATCTATGAGCAAGTTACCAACAACTTTTAATGTTACTGAATACAGGCTTCCTTCTTATGGTTATTACTTTGAATTCAAAAAAATAAGCAATCAAATGACTATTGCAACAGTTTATGTGTATTTTAATTTGTTTTGTAGGTTGGCTATCACATGTGTGGCCTCTTATATTTTTTATATTACATATATATATTTTATATTCTCTACCATAATATTTTCGAAAATATTAACTCCCTAAATTACATAAGGCCACAGCTTTACAGGACATTATACCTAACCACCTTAAATACACAAAAGGTAGGTGTTGTACATATGTTTTTATTTTTCATAAATTATAACAATATGGTCATTTGATTGCTAACTTTTGAATTCATAGTACTAATTAGAAATTTAAGAGTTCTTTGACTGCAATAAGAGAACAAGTTTTGGTTAATCAAATTGAAACAGTCTATGAACATTGTGACCAAAAAACATTACCGACTAATTTAAAAATAACTTCCTCAAATATCAATATGAATATGATAGAAGTGTTAATAAATTTTGAGCGATATATTGCTTGATATGCATTTATAGATTAGGAATTGAGTCTGCTTCCCATTCTTATCACTTAAAAAATAATTTTAGTCATTTCCACTGAGATAATCACAGAGTTCTTTCTCTGCATTTAATATACGGTGCTCGGAAGTCCTTTAGACCATAATCGTCCTAAAACTCACATGTGTGCTTATTATAAATGTATGCTTATTCAGGAATATGGTGATTGCAATTTGTTTTTATATAGCATTATAACCTTATAAATATATAAATATTTAAAAGTACTATAAACTTGTACTTAAGTGTGATGTAGCACTTAAATTTACAGAAATGGGATCAGGCAGTAATGTCTAAAGTTCTTAACATTAGGCTATTCCCCTCAAGCGATGGGCTGCCTAAGTGTGATGTAGCACTTGGATATACAGAAATGGGATCAGGCAGTAAAGATTACAAACATGTCTATAGTTCTAAACATTAGGCTATTCCCCTCAAGCGGTTGACAACTGATTCCACTAGATATGGTCTTGTAGGTAAGTACATAAATACTGTGCATATATGTAACCTAAAACAGCACAATATATGATGACATTATCAAATGACATCCTATCAAATTCAATTATTGGAGATACACTTATTTTGACGCTACTAAATTTGACGGATTTGCTAAATTTCAAATGTTGGCGACTGTTTAATTTGGCGGATTCAGGACTTAAGTTTAATTTTTGTAGATGTTTATGTCATAAGGACAGATGTTTCCAAAGATATTTTTGGGTTTGTGTAAAAAACTGGATGACCAGGTACTTAACATTCATAGCAGGGTTAGGAATTATCTATCACATCTATTAGACTGTCATAGACTACCATCTATCACATCAGATGATATGTGCAAAGTGCACATGATGAAAATGGTATATATGATCTGTCAGTTTTAAATAGTGGTCGAAATCTAGTCAAAGAGGAGCGACTTTTCTGGCAAAGAAATGGCCTAGTCCACCAATT